GGAAAGGTGTTAAAGAGGACATCGACATGTTTTTTGCTTCAAAGCCAAGTGATTTATTTAATCAGTGTATTAACAACCTGATTGGAAAAGTATCATCGATAAGAATGGAGACTATTTCATTTAATAAATATTTGGTTTTGATATATAAATTCGTGTTTTTCATCTAAAAAAGCGACATTAATTTCTTAACGACCTAAAAGAATGATTTTTAAAATACTACATAATATACAAATCGTAATGATGTTTGAGCCTTTTGGTTTTTCATAACGCTAAAAATGAGAAAAAAAGAGAATGCGAAAATCTGCTCTCGCTCATGAGTTGATGCCGCCTTCGTCAATTTGATTTTTAATACAAATTATACAGTTATTCTACTTATGTAATGGGTTGCTGTTTTAGTAGCGACGATGATAAAAGCCCACAGGTAAGTTAAATTAAATAAAGGCAAATTCGAGCTTTTATTACGCATTTTAGGTTTTGGCAGATATTGCATACCAGCTCCACGTTTTATTCAGTTCAACTCTCAGTTTCAAGAGGTAGTACTATTAGTATTACTAATATTAATTAAATTAATTTTTTTTATAATCCTGGAATAACGGCGACATACTTATTAATATCACATAAATTTAAAAGTTTAATACAATTTAAGAGTCAATTCAAATTATATTTACTTGTGTAGGATTATATAAGTTATAATATAAATTATAACGCTTTTTTGTCATTTGTTCATTGAATGTTTTATAATAATAATTGTTGTTGAATGTGCTATACAAAATATATACCATTTACTAAATAATTTAGTACTAATTTAAACTATTACTATTACTAAATGTTGAAAATATTAGTTTTTGAGATTTGAAATTAGACCTTGGTAATTTTATAGAGAAATTTGTAAACATCGAACATTAATCATAAATCGTGCAAATTGTAAAAACCAGTGGTTCATTTTTTATAATCGTAAGCAGTTCTCATAAAAAGTTTCAGCTTAAAACTAAAATTATGAGCAAAAATTTAGTTATGTGTTTTACACAAGTTCAAAACAGTAATACATTTATTTTATTATTTGCCTCAGTAATATGCATATGTAAGTATAAAAATGGCATTCTTTATTAAGTTGCATTATTCTTGTTGTTGAATCTTATATTTTTTACCATATTGATCTAAGTGTATGTAATTTTATAGATAAAAGTAAAACAAATAATATTGTGTTGTTAAAATTATTTATGTATTTTTATTTTTTATTTAAAATGCTATTTAATATTTTTTAATACCTAGCCATGCCAATGTTATGTATAGAATACAAGATGATAAAATCCCTTTTACCTTGAGCACTTTTGAAAGGTGGACCTTACTTCTTCAGGGGCAAACTGGGAATGGTGATGTAATCGAATGAGTGATACATAAAGGGAATTGAGTGACGTCATCCGGTTTTCCAGGAAATGTTTAGTATATTTTCCCATATATTGTTATAAGTGTTTCATTTCCAGTACATTGTAGCTGGTGACGAGAGCATTATGTAAAAAGGTGTTAGGGATATTTTGCTTTAGAATTGGCTTTATATAAATTAGGGTTCACACTATGTGAAAGAAATATGCAAAGAACAAAAAAACAAAAATTATTTTTCTGACAGAAAACAATAACCCTTTCTAAAAATGTAGGTAAGAGAAGATGATAATAGAGAAATTAAAGAGTCTTTTAATGAAATCTTAAGGCAGGAATCTTAAAGCTGGTACAAAGAAGGTAAAGGCTTATCTAAGTTGATTCTATATGATCGACCACTTGTCAGGAAATTCACAATTCTTACGGTCTTGAAATGTATTTTACATACTTGTATACTAGTAGTTAAGTGTTTTTGTTAGGATATATTTACGTTTTGCACTTTCTATTTCTGTTAACCATTTACACTGTGGTGTTGTGTCCAACAATGTCTTTCAAACAGTTTTTTTGTTACTGTTAGCTATCTTGTATATCAACAATGTTTCCATATCATGAATAGTTCATTGTCTTTTTTAATCTTTTTTTTTTCTTCTTATGTTGTTTGAAGAATATGAAATATTTAGTGGAGAATGAAGACTTAGAATGCTAAAAACATAGGAGCATCATGGGATTTACCATGGTGCATTGTGCCAATTAAAGTTTAGCATGTTTGCCTTCTGGTTAAGCAGTCTTATTGTAATGCGGTTGGTTACTTGAAGTAGTATGAGTTGTATTGCAGGAACTAATATTCTGATTCAACATCATTTTACTCATTAATTTTGAGGTTAACATTAAAAAATTCATTAAAATATCAATAATATTTATTTTTTGCAGTCTGTTGGGTAGTTATAAAAAGTTATCTACTTGTATCTAGTCTTAGCTAATCTAAAGCAGAATTACCACCTTAAAAAAAACAACTTAAAAATATTGAAACTAAAGAGAGAATTTAAACATGTTTCAGATTGTAATAAAATTTAGAACAAATGTTTAAGTACAAGATTCAGAAAAGTAAAACTGGTGTAATTTTATAGTTTATGCATGTTTATAGTAAAAGGTTTTGAAGCTGTGTAATTATGTGATTTTCTTCTTTACAGCACAATGAGCCAAATGAAAGAACAAAACTATTAAGTAATCCTGTGAGCAATAACTCTGTTAAACCATTTATTAGGTAATATTTTTGTTTAAAGTGCTGTTACACCTAAAAAAACAAACATGAACTTCTTAGTGTCATGATTGTACTATTTTTTTCTTCTTTCTGAGTGTTATAAGAAAATTCTTAAACTAATTCAGAATGTAGTACAAATTTTGTATGGCTTTTCATCACCTGGCTTCATAAGGCTGTTTAACAATTTTCTGCCTGTCCTACAATCTGCATTGTTATCTTTCATATATTTAATTGATGTGTCCTAAAACAACTCTGTCATGGTGCTGACTGGTCACTTATGTATGGCTATTATTAAACCTAATCTTGCAGGATTTTAGATATTATCAAGACTATGTGATAGTTTGTTCTGGGCATTCATTTAGTTTAGGTAATTATTAGTCTTATTGGTTTAGTACTAGTGCCTACTGTCATATCATGACAAGCCAAGTTTGATTTATATCTTACAAGTTCTTTAAGTAAAAACAAAGAATATATAAGCATGTGTGTATATGTGGTGATTTTAATTTTTCCCATTCTAATTGGCATTAAACTCAAGACTTCTTGCACACCAAGTAAGTGGTCTACCAGTTCAGCCTAAGGTTTAATCCATTTTTTAACTGTATAACCTACTGCATCTCTAACAACAAAGTGAACTTAATATAAAAATTCTGTCCATTTCATGATTTTTTTTTAGTACATGTTGAAATTACTATAATTTCTTTAAAATGTTATTTTTATTTAACTTTTCAATGTTTTATAACTATTATATGCATATAGAAATGAGTGAAAATGAAATATTAAATATACCCTCAAATGGCAGTTTTACTTTTTTACTATTGTTGTGATATTTTTCTATTGAAGGGAAAATGACAGTGGGAAACATTTAATAATATTCATGTGTAATGAATATATTTTTGTAAATATTTAATTTTCATTTCTGAATAATGTGAATTAGCACATTCTCATTGTCATTACTTAAAATTTTGGGGATATGCATTCACATAAATTTGTGTTAATGATTCATTTGCATAGTTAGTGACTAAATTTCTTAAATTTCTAGTGATGACTATGGAAGCAGCACGAAATGTACACACAGTCATAGGGTAGATAAGCAGTCGGCTCTAAACAGAATATTAAATCAGGCAGCAACGTAAGTGTATTTTTAATTCAAGCTTTTTGCAGGATTCTTCTCAGGTTACAAAAATAATGATGTACTGCAGAATTCTGCAGACTTCCAGAAAAAAAAAAAAATTCAAAATTTACCTATTATTTTTAACTTGACGACAAGCAGAGGGTTTTGAACAAATAGTGTACAGTTGTGAATAATCCACTAGTTTGCTTTGTGATTCCATAAATAATTTTTTTCCTTCTCTCTCTGGCTCTTTATTGTGATAATATACAGGGGTGTATTGACATTAAAGGACCAGCCCAGGCAACATCATTACAGTGGTCCAATAATGTTTCACGTTCTTCATCATACTGGCTAAACCATTTATTTAAAACCAATTTCTTAGAATGCATAAAATGCACAAGCCCACTAAAAAATTGCCTGGTGTTCAAGTAGGCCAATCCATTCTTGATAACATAAATATTTTTCCAAGTTTCATAGTTCAATAAAACCATTAACACAGATATTTCTTGGATGAGTATTGCTTTATTTCATCGTTTTACTAAGTATGGGCAAATTTCAGGCAATGAACTTAAGTGAAAAGTAACACCCAGATCATTTTATTTAACCTGTGATCTGTACTTTTGTGTACAAAGAAATTTCTATAAAATCATCTGAATACCTTCTGCGGTATAAACAATATTTTAATTCCTTTTATTTTACTATTTCAAATCTTCTATTTAATATTTTATGTGAAATACAGCATTTTCTATGTGCTTGATTCTGTTTTTTCTAGAGGTGTGTTTGTATATAAAAGACAGGAAAAAAAATATCTTAAAAATGTTTTTGTTGAATCTTTGGAATTGCTCTAAAAAATGTATTCTTTAATTCCCTGAAATTAATGTTCTTAGTTTTTAAAATGACAACTTATTTTTAATCTTTAATTAAATACATTTTTAATTGTATTTTCAAATTAATGGTAATATTTATTTCTTCTTACACACACAGTACAGTAAGTTCTAAGAGCAAATAAAAAGGTGTAAAATATTGGTAGTTTCAACTGTATGAATTTAAATACTTTTATATATTTATATCTACATAAACTTGCAAGTTTTGATTTGTGATTATTTTTGTTATGTATAGCCACATTTTCAGATACTTATATGGAACTTTAAACAGGGTTTGGTTTCATTTGTAAAATTGTCAAATAAGTATACAATTACTTGGAAGATGTGAAGCAAATGTTTTTGTTTTTAGAATGTGTGTGTGTGTACTACCTACACATACATCATATACTAAGCTGAAAGTTTTTGTTTCAGAAATGTGATTGATGTATCAGGTCTGGATTCTCCCTTGGAGCAAAATGAATACTTAAATAGAGCCTTCCAGTATAATCAGAGAATTATGGTTTCTGCTCAAACTTTTGCAAGCCTTCAAAAGAAGCCATCCTTGTTAGTAGACCTTCCTGCACCAGAAAAGGGCCTTGCAGTCAATCCAATATCTTCAAGTGATTTGAAATTAGTAAGTTTGTATATATATTTTTTTTTGTACAGACTGGTATAATACATCAAGACAAATATAAAAATTATTGGATTTTGCTAATTTTACTGACAGTTATTCCAGAACTTGAGCACGTTAAGGTTTATTGATAACATTTTAATAACCAAATATTTATTTATTTTTATTTATTTATTACAGCAGCAAGAATTCAATTACTCATATATGCTAAATGTAGAATATGTTTAATTGGAACCAGACATCTTCCAAGTTATAATTTACTTTTGTTTGCATATAGTTATTGGTAAAATTGTTATCAGATATCCTAAATATTCATATGTTTGCTGAGAAGTGTTATGAAAATAAAACGTACCTTAAGAATATTTTATTAAAGAACTAAGTAGTAAAAGATGGCTACCTACTGGTAATGGAAAAAACAAAAACTATCTGTTCCTGTATTGCAGTCAACAGTATATTCAAGTAGTGTACTTTCGTTAGTTGGAAACTATTTTGGTTCATTTTATGACTTAATATGCAATTTGTAGCCTTAAATGACCATTACTGTCCACTTTTGCTAATATTTTGGTCATATTTTACACTTTAAAAATAATTTGCAACACCAGTGCATCAAATATGTTTGGTATGTTGACCAGTTAAAAGTTGCATAATGCATTAAAGAATCATTTTGCTTATAGAATGCACTACACATTTTTGTAACCAAAATGTTGTTTTGTTAAATAACATGTTGATGTTGATCTTGGTTCAATAATGTTTGTAAAACATTTTTTTATTATTATTATAGTATTTGACATTAAAAACAGTCAAAATATGTAATTATGTAAGTGGCTTTACCAATAATACTGTGTTGATTTCTTGCTTTTAATTATGTTGCACCCTGCCTGATGGTTAAGTGGACAGCATGAATCTTAGTCAGATGGTTGGGAGTTCAAGACTGGCCCACATTATGCTGTTGTGTCCTCAAACAAGACACTCTACCTCACTTGTTCCAGTCTATCTGGTTGTATGATAGGTACCTAGCTGTTTGGTTTGTTTTGAATTTTGCATAAAGCTACATGAGGGCTATCTGTACTAGCCATTCCTAATTTAGCAGTGAAAGACTAGAGGGAAGGCAGCTAGTCATCTTCACCCACTGCCAACTCTTGGTCTACTCTTTTACCAATGCTGAAAGGGTGAGCATGTTTTGGTGGAACAGGGATTCAAACCCGTGACCTTAGATTGCTAGTCGAGTGCCCTAATCACCCATTAGCTGGGGATTAACCTGCAATAAGACTGCACCTTATCTAGAGGAAATTGTTCACCATTCTCATCCACTTGTGCCGTTGGAACCAGAGTTCAAAAGCACCAGCCTTACATACATTGTAAAGAAAAGCACAGGAAGGATTTAGCTTCTGAAAATTACCTGATGGTTATGCTAATTTGTAAATTGGCCACTGCAGAACAATCGTACATAGAATAATTTTTAAAGTACTGCATAGTATATAAATCGTAATTATGCTCGAGCCTTTTGGTTTTTGAAAATATGAGAAAATGTGAAAACTTGCTTCTATATATAAGAAAATGTTATATTAGAAGTTCTTAACTTTCCAGGCATAACTTTTTGATAAACATTTAGATAGAGATTGATAAGAGAAAATACCTTTTATATAGTAACTCTGTTCAACTTTACATATTGATATTTCATTTCTTAATACATAATTAATGCAAATGGTAGGGGGAAAAAATGTAATATGTTTTCAAATATAATAAAATTATCTTAAAGGAGCAAGCTAAAAGTTATTTATTGAATAAGCCTAAAGAAGAAATTTTTTTAAACAAGGTGTTCTCAGTTGTGAAGGAAAGAATTGTGATTGTATCTGTAGTTTTAATATAACCTGAAGAAAAATAGATATTTAACTGCAATTATAAAAATGTATTATATTTTAGAATGTGTGAATTGTGGTAAATTCTAAGTTGGTAAGACAAATAATTCAAGTTTAAGGACAAATTCACATAAATTCCATGATAGATGTCCCACTAGTATGCCAGCGAACATTTTAATGAATGTATTTGAGCAAATTAAAATCTTCTGAGAGAATCACATTTTCATATTCTTTCTTTTTTTGGCCATGTAATATAAAACAAAAGATAATTTTCAAAAGATATTTTCTAAATAATTTGGCATCAATTTAAATAGTTGAAGGTAAGAGGGCAAAGGTAACAACTTGTAAGTAATGGTAGCTGGAATTTTGTAATGGTGGAAACTTTAAGGACTTATAATAATAGTAATAATAATAATATTAAAAAAAAGTACAATATATATATATATATATTGTACTGCATTGTTAAAGATTATAAAAATAATTACTTTTCTATTTAAATATATACATACACACACAGACACACACACACACATATATATATTGGAGATAGAGAGAAAAGAACAATGCCAGTGAACAACACAGTTTCACATAGCTAACTAACACTATAGATTAATTAATTTTAGTCTCACCAAGTATTAATAGGAACATCTGTCTTTATAGTGTCAGTAAGCTTGTTACATGTGCTGGGTTGAGAAATGAATATTAAAAAATTTTTTTTGTTTGTTTGTTTCTTTCGTTTTAATAAAACTTAGTTGACTAGAATTGAATACAAAAAAAATACCCTCACTCATTTATTTTGTTCTACTAATGTACATTTACACATTTTTATTAATACATTTTGTGGTACTATTTAATAAGTTATACTGATCTTAATTTTTAGGAGATTTTTCCAAAATCCTTTCTTCAAAAAAACATTCTAATACACATGTCAAAATTTACATCTCAAATTCAGTATGTACAGCATTTGCATAACACAAACAAAACATTAACTGAGTAATTTATAGTACACTATAGTATAAAGAAGCTCATTTACCAAACTTCCTCATACAAAACTAGACCCTCTGCAACACTGTGAATTGTACTTTTTGTTCCCTCATTTAAAATAAAAATGCAAGATATTTCACAAATATCATTTGGAACTAACTTAGGGGTAAAGGGTGATGCTGTGATGGTTAAGAAATTATATGCTACATTCACTTGAGAGCACAAACACTCATCTATTTGTATACTCATTTTATGGGGTCCCAAAGTCAACTACAAGGTTTTCTTGGTGTTGCACCTTGATCTCCTGAAGTGCAAGTAGGACTTTTTCACAAGTACTATTAAGCTGTAAGAAGTTAATCACATAATTAAGCATTGCACATATACACACAATGAAGAACAAAGCACTTGATATATATATATAAATATACTGGATATATATATATATATATATATATACAGTATAATAAAAAGCAAGTTTCTTTTTTCTGGTCACTAATATTTGTTAATAATGTGCCACCTAACCTGAGAAGAACATTGGACAGCTTTTTGAAATTAATACCACAAAAATAAGTCCTATCTAAAGTTTCATTCAACTGCTTAGATGCATCCATTACTTGTAAAAATGTATTTGGGAAGAGAAAATGTGTTGTACATGAAGCAGCTCCCAATACAATGATACTCAGTTCACTCGTTTGTTACTTAAATTGAAAGATGCCAAGTTCAACAACAAAAACAGAATTATTTTCGGCAAATCTATAACAGCAAGTTTTTTCCAAATGCATAACCTATCTAAAGAACTAAGTAGTGTAAAATTGGTAAAGTGCCTATGGATGGATTTCCATGATTTTAACTGAATTTATTCAACACATCTAAGAAAACCTAAATACAATAAAAGTTCTCATAATACTACATTTATCTTCACAGAAGTAAAGACATTGAAATTCGTATTAAATTTAACAAGGTTACAGATGACCCATCAGCATACTGAGTCCAATTCATTATTTCGAACTGCAGAAATAAATGCTGATCTCTTGAAGTTATTTTCTCCATGACAGGAATGTTCAAAAAAAATCTATATAACAGATGCTAAAGAAGCACTGACAATAACATGCTGAAGAAGGAGGATTGCAATTGGAAGAATACTTTATCCATAGTTAATACTCTTTACATAATATATGCCTTGAGTGGATTTTTTTACATATCAAATGTCATACAGTCCATTTTCACGAGCATAAGAAAACTTAACTACATAACTATGTACTGATTACAAAAGAAAATTCTTTAAAAAAATAGCTATTTGTCGAATCTCTGCTACTTGACAAAATAAATGCGGTATGTATCAAGTAGACAGCACGTGAGGTCGGCATCACCTGTTCTGGCGAAATTCGTGAATTTGTAATAGCTTCAAATACATCGTCTTGTACGATTTTTTGTTGTAGGATATGCGATTCCATGTTCTCTTTTAAGAAGATTTTCTTTGCCAGCATGTATCATTTGTAAAGTTCCATTTTGACATATCTTTATCCTTGATCGTTCTACCACTTTAGCGTAGTTGAAAGCTACAGCAGGAGGGTCAGTCGGTTTTGAGCACGTGAGACAACTGCCTCGTTTATTTTAAACTAATAAATAAATAAACGAAGAATTCTGCTATTAAAATAACCCATAAGAAATCAAAAACTTACTAACCTTTAACAGAACAACACTAAAACACTTAAACAATCGCAAAAATGTTGTAAAAACTCACACGAAAACTATTTTTGATGACCCATTTCTTGTAGCTTCCATATTCGTCCGCCATCCCATTACATGACACAGATAGATACTTTGGATTTACACATTTTTTATCAAAAACACAAAAAACAGTTATTATAGCAAGAGAAAACATATCCTTTTTTAAACTATTTTAGATAACCATTATACCAACATAACATAATATCTATAAGTAAATATCATATACTCACACTCTGCGCTAGCCGTCCCTAATTTAGCAGTGTAAGACTAGATAGAAGGCATCACCACTCACCGCCAACTCTTCGGCTACTCTTTTACCGTCACATTATAACGCCCCCATGGCTGAAAGGGCGAGCATGTGTGGTGGGACGGGGATTCGAACCCGCGACCCTCAAATTGCGAGTCGAGCGCCCTAACCACCTGGCCAGGCCGGGCCCAATAGATAGCATGATATACAGAGCTTAGTTGAATGGAAATAAATATACA